GAAAAAGAAAGATGCATTGAGAGTGCGTCGCGGCTCTCATTCTATGTGGGAATGCTGCACGGCGTGTAGCTGTATTGCTCTGAAATGCCGCACCATCACGCACGAGGACGTGGCACAGAGTGGAAGATCTTTTTTGTGTCTGCTGCTGTGGGTGTGGACGCGGCCGCGTCGGACTTGTCGGCACGATGACCGCAGCGTGTGGCTGCCACTCTGTTCTCTCGAGAGATATGCTGCCACGCTTTTACGTGTGTATTGCTTCGGAGACAATGTGCTGGCGGCTGTGTGATTGCCGGGTGGAGGGAGAGGAGTGGAGGGAAGTGCGTAAGCGCAGCGGTCAGGAGTCGCGCTGGGAGTCTTGCCGCGGAGGGTATTGCCCACCCAACCCAGCACCGCTTGTGCTGGGCACCCTCTCCTTCTCACACTGCAGCATCTTAGTGGACGCCAGCAGCACAAGGCGAGGCAGCGGATACCGCAACCGCCACGAGTGCGACCGGAAGGGGACACTTCTGCTGTTGCGTTCGGAGGGGTCACACCGTGTGGCACAGCGGCGTGCCCAAAAACCCCTTGCGGAGTCCGCACACGACACCGGGCACTGGCCGCGGAGTGTCTGCGTGTGGCCGTGGCTGCACCGAATTTCCTTTCCACTTGTGTGTTTGTACGTGTTAAAGGTAACGTTCACGCGCGCATCTATCCTTGTGGAGTGTGTGCAGTGAAGGCGGTGCCACACGGGTGCGGGACCGTAGCGTGCGGGGTGCGTGGGCGAACCCTTCGTGCGCACCACGTTGTTGTTTTTGTGGCTCTCACCAACACCGTGCTGGGTGGTTGGCATCCACTCGCCGTCGTTGCGGTGGTCCTTGTGTATTGAGTACAGCGCCGTCACACCGCACGTATGGCACTCTTGCTGTGGCTGCCAGTCATTCCTGTGATTATTTTCTTTCTTATCCATCACTTATTTGTTGGTCAGTATTCAACTTCAACTAAATCCAACCAAGAAAACAAGAAGAAACGATGCCTCCAAAACGCAATAGAGTGCAAGGTGGCAATACCTGGAGCCAAGCGTCCGCCGCGCCGCAGAGAAATCGTGGGAGAGCGAGGCAGGAGTTGGAGCGTGGTAAAGATCAACTCGCTGCGACACACATAAGAGTGGAGGAAGCGCGGCGACCACAGTGGATTATAAGCAGCACCGTAAAGGACATCATGTTGGAGGGAATCACTCTCAGGTACAACAGGAAGCCGTAGAATTTTTTCGTAGCTACTTAGGTGGCAGGGGCGTTGTGGATATTAATAAAAATGTCTTGTTGGAGACTTTTTTTTAGGAGCCGGATAATTACGTACAAGACAAGCAGCTTTTTGGAAGAAATTTTAATTTAACAGAGTACCAGGTGTACAAACTTCGCCACGAGGGTGTGTTCTCTCTTGGGAAATGGGGGGACTATGAAGGAAAGGATACGGTCACTCCTCTTGTAAGGAAAACCAAAAGGGGTACTCACGCAGGTACTGACAGAAGCGAGGCGTGAGGCATCAAAAGTTTATAAAGCTGCGATGCTAAAGGGATTTTACAAGTCAATGTACAATGCAAAGTGGCATCATGTCAAGGAAGTCACCCAACGTTGTTTGGTAAACATTGAGGTGGAGTAGGGGAAACCAGCACAGTCATGGACGTACAAGGCGGTTCGAAAAATCTTTGAAAAGAATGACGGTGTGGAGCAATCCGGTGCACCACGTCTCAGGCTGATGGTGCTCACCTCGGACTAGATATGGCCGTACACGTAAAGGGACAGCAAATCCACTCGTGACTGCCATGCGAACTGTGAGGTGGATCGAGTGTGGCGGATCGTCAGCTGCGATCTAACCGAATGGTTCAGCCCCCACCGTGAGACCGAATTTGCGCCTGGGAGGCGTGTGTTGATTGGGACGCCCGGAATCGGGAAGTCGATGGCTGCCGGCTCGTACCTCCTTTACCAGCTGCTGCACTACGATGCGGAGAAACTCCAAGTGGTTGTTCACTGTTTTGGAGAGGAGATGCGTAAGTGTCTGAAAAGACCACCAGGACGGTGACAAGATACGTGGGTGGTAAAGCATCCAAGGAATTTTTGTGATTTGTGGAATTGTGGAATAAAAGTGTATTATCTACAATGTGGCAAAGTAAAGAACGCCGCCAGAGGAATATTTTTTGCCTGGCCCCGGTTGTGGCATGATTGTGGTGCCATCCCCAAAGGTAAGCAACTATGATAAATGGATGAAACAAGAAGGGGCGGCGCGAATCATCGTGAATTGCCCCGACGGGATGGATGTGAGGGCAATGTGTGCATGGATGAAGCGGGGTATGGATCCAGATAAAAAAGCGGAATGCTGGAGGATGGTCAAAGAACGCATGGAAAAAGTGGGGCCGATTCCACGTCACATCCTTGATGCGAATAAGTTCATTGCGCACTCTGCTGCCATTGAGGATGCCTTGGATGGGATCAATTTCTGGGACGGTGAAAAGCACTTTACGCACGGGGAGTGAGACTGTGGTATTCTGAGAATCCGTCTCAAAAGCTTGTGAGGGTTGTCAGAGGAAGAGGAGAAGTCGGTGCTGACGGACTTCTGAATGCACCGATATCTTTTTGCCTCGGACGTCGAATACCGCACTATTATGTGAAAAGTGATGAGTAATAAATATATTTTTTTCTGTAGCTATTATTGGGGTGAGAATACTCTTTTGTCCGAATGTATGGGAGGGTTTGGCTTGCGCGCATTCGTTTTGGTGGAGCTTGTCGCTGCATTAGTAGAGGACCTCAAGGAGCTGAGGCCACCAGCGCGCCGTGGAGGACAGCACGCAGTGCTGAAGGCGGACCCTGAAGGGCACCGCGCCGAGTTATATGTAAATCAGCTGCAATGAAATACCACACAAATACTAATATAAAGCATCGGCTGCTGTGCATACCGGCGGTTGAAAACCTTCCGCTGGTGGACCTTTTTTTCTTCGTGAAGTTACCGCGGAAGACGTTGGTTGGGCTGCGGATGGCTACGGCGGGTTAGCACCACACCACCGCCAGCACTGTGAGACAGTTCACTGAGTGCCTGGCGGCATATTTTGATGGTTGGGAGGAGTTATCGCGAGACATGTCGTGGGAGATTATTTACGTGCAGCACGCAGACAGCACGCCGATGAATGGCTGGTAGAGATGTGATGTTGTCAACTCCGATAATGTGAGTGACGATGAAGGCCGTGAAATAGCGGCGTTCTGGAGAGAAAAGGTGCGCCAGTACCAAGTGTCAATACCATCCAAAGACTTTAGAGGAGAGGAAGCTCTTTGAAGTGTGGAAGAACCACCGAAGTGGGAAAACAAATTGAGGGATGCAAGGGGGCGGTTTTGATTTCTGGTAAAACGTACTGCGGGATACATATATTTTTGAATGCTTGTGTGCGCATACGGGGCATAATCGGGGAATTTTCCCGTATAATGGAATCATTGTTGCTGGCGGTGTCGCAGTATTACTGCATTGTCCATTTTATTCTATTGTGCTCTAAGACCCATCACTAACAGAAGCATCTTTAAGGGGTATGGGCGAGGCATAAGTTCTATTGAGGGAACAGTGCACTCCGTGTGACCGCGTGGAGTAGGGCGCCGCATCCTATTGAGGGCGGAACGGACTGTTTTGAATGGGACCACCGCGAAGTATGCAGAATTACGGACTGGCCCGCCGCCGCACGACACGCTGTGTGTGTCGACTGGAAAACGTGAAAACCGTCCAACGTGAACTGCGCTAAGAGACAATTCTGTGTCTACTCCGACGTCTGGCTCTGCAGGCAGGCGTAGAGAAATGGAGCGGGCACTGAAGATGTGGGTAATCTGTGCTGCACGAAAAAGTTGGCGCGGTTTCTCCTTGGGGTGTAAAGGCCTTGTCCCCAACAGTACCTCTGCACGGCGAGAAGGCGCGAAGCCTCTTGTAGATGCAGAGTAACTTTTATGCTTGTGGTAGGCCCGTTGCTTTTTTCTTGATTTGTTTATTGCCTGGTTTACAAAATTATTGCTTTTTTATTTTATTGATTCTTGGCAAAAACTGATTATTGATCCACCGCGCTGTCCCGTGGAAAATGCATAAAAGATACGTGTTTCACGTCCTCCGCTGAAATCCCTCTTTGCGTGACGGGGCTTTTTTTCACGTATTTATTTATTGGCCGGACGTTCTTGACGATGTTGTCTGGTGTGCGGCCACAGGACTCATTTGAGAAAAGTCAATGTAAAAGAAGAAACGGCCACTGCACGACGTTGCGTTTTTTGTGTGGGTTGCGGTGCCTCCACGTCATATTTAAGCGTTTGTTGGAGTAATTCTTGTATTTTCATTGTGCCTGAGCTGCATACTTCCTTTGTTTTGCTATAGTGGCTGCAGCGGGACTCTGCGGCTGCGTACTTTTCGCACGTGTCGCAACTCCTGCTGTTGCTGCCTCGCTCTGTGTTGGTGGGGAGTGGGCGAGCGACGGCGTTGGTGGAGAAGGAAGGCACTGACCGCTGCTGATGGTGACGGTCTTTGCAGCAGGCGATCTGAGGGGATGGCGTGACTGGTGTAACCACCAACCGAGATGGATGTGGGCCGCACCGCATCTCTCTTCCCCCTCATCATCCTCTCGGTTCACAGCAGACACAAGCACCGCGCGGCATCTGCGCGACCACCATTCGGACGGCTGTGAGCCAATCGGACTGTGCAATCGGTGGGAACACTTTTTTCCCGTGTCTGCGTACTGCCGTCGTGCTTCTTCATTCCTCCTTTCGTCATTGCGTATGCCGTGCGCGTCTGATTTCGCTGTTTCTTGTGCTGTGTCGACCCATCGGTCACACTAGCTGCGCCAATGGTCACGTTTGTTTTTGCCTGGACCACGCTACTTGGCACGGTGGCCGTGTGGTACTGTGTGGGCAATGAGAGAGCAATGGCGTCACTGATTTGATTGCGTCTGCGCGGTGGTGTTTGACGGTGTGTTGCTGGAGGCGTCGGGTGGTCCGACCGCGTCCGCGATGCGTGTGGCGTCCTCGTCGTGTCTCAGTCTGCGGAGCCACTCGGTGTTCTCTGTGACGAACGTGTCGGTTGTGAGCAGCGGCGGTGGCATTGTGCTTGGAGAGCGCCTCGTGGTGTTTGACTCGGTGCTGCGCTTCGTGGGCGTCGAGGGGTCTGTTGCGTCGTCGCTGGTGCGCTGCGACGGTGGGACGGTCGGTGGCGGCGGGTGGCTGGACCTGCACGACGTGTGGGCGGTGGGCGAGGCGTCGTCGGTGGCGTCGCTGTCGGGTGTGACGCTGAGCGGCGGCGCCGTGTCGATTGCGCGCTGCGCTGCCACTGGCGCTACGCTTGTCTCCGGGCTGGCAATCACGAGCGGCGTCGTGTCGGTGCAGTGCAACCGTGCCGGCGGCCGGGTGCTGCGGAGCAGCGGCGACTACCGCATGGCCGGCCTGCCCTCCGTGAGTGTGGTGCCGTGCGACGGCTGTGCGGCCGCTCTGGCGTGCTTCGATGCGCTGACGGCGTCGTTCTCCGACTGCGTGTGCAGCTGCCGCGCTGGCGGTGTGGGCGAGGCGTGCCTGCCGTTCGACGTGCCGCCTGCGAGGTCCGGCGGTGGTGGCGATGCGCAGGACTGCGTGAGTGGCGTGACGCTGACGGAGTCGGTGACGGTTGGCGGCGGGCGTGCGACGGCGTGCTTCGACTCGGTGGTGTTCAGCGGGCCGATCACTGTGGCGGTGGACCTGCGCTCGATGGACGCGTTCGCTGACGCGCTGAACGTGACGCTGCGCCACTGCGTGCTTGCGGGCGGCGCGCACCTGCGGATTGGCGGCCTCAGCGAGAGCACGGCGCGCCTGCTGCCCCACGCCCTCGTCAACATGACGAATGTGACGTCGCTTGAGGGCACGATCGTGCTGCATGGCGCGATGCCGCTGCACTCGAGTGTGCTGCTGGCGAACTCAACACTGCGTGCGACGGTTGGCGGGTCGCAGTACGTGCCGACGACCCGTGGACACGAGAAATTTCGGCACGGCCCCGCGCTTGTCCTGGACGGCGTCCGGCTTCTGTCGACACGTTTTGTCATGACGCGGTCTACGCTGTTTTGTTACGGGGGCTCGTGCGCTGCGATCCTCGTGGAGCACGGCCTTTGCGCAAACCTGTCCAGTGTCTTCTACATGGACAACTGCGCTGTCGTGTCGCGGGCGCACGTAATGTACGCTCTTGCGTCGTACCTGCGTGTCAGCGGCGACTCCGTGTTCTCCATACAGAACGGCTCGTGGAGTGCGCCGAGCATCGAATACTACGAAAGTGCGTGTGTGTTTGAGGACGTTGTGGTGGATGGCGGCAGCGTGCTGCAGATTGTGTCCAGCACTTTCCGTCTCGGCTTCGCCATGCTCATGGCAAGCACGCTGACCGTGACAGGCGGCGGTTGGCTGGTGCACCGCGACAACGAGTTCCGTACCGCCCACGTTGTGTACGTGGACAAGGAGAACGGCGTGGCGTTCCGCGATCAGAGTGTTTGGTCGATAATTGACGACAACTTCACTTACGGTTCGTTCTTGTCCTTTGCATGTATGACAAACAAGTGGTCGCCACCATCCGACACGCGCCCGACCATCTACGGCATGTGCAACGAGATAAGGGGCTCACCTGTGACGAATTACGGAGAAGACCTCAATATTGGTTCGCCCGTGACGGTGTTGGACTGCGGCGCTTGCACCGTGGAGGCCGTGTGCTTTGCAGCGAGGACGAGCAGCATCAGCGGCTGTGAGTGTGTGTGCGCTGCTGGCGGCCACGGTGACACGTGTCTGCCGGCTGCGGTTCCGGACGGCCTTGGACCGCTTCCGCTCCCCGATGCGGATGACACGGAGGTTCGCTGCGTGCACGGTGGCAGCATCAGCTCCGTGGAAGTCCCGGCCCCCGGTGTGCGTGGTCTGTGCTTTGTCAACGTGACCTTCACCGCCGCGATCGTGCTGGACCTGTGGAGCTTTGACGCGCCACAACATACACTCAACATCACGCTGCTGCAGTGCGTCCTCATGGGCCTGTCGGTCAGGGGGAGTGGTGCGCGCGTGCACGTGAACGTAGCATCCTCGATGCTGGATTCTGGAGCGTTGGAGTTTGAGGGTGGTTTTGGCGCGAGCTCCCAGATACTGGTGGCAGGCAGTACGCTTGTGACGACGTCGACCCACGCCATTGCCTTTCTGGATTTTGATCCCGGGAAAACTTTGACGCTGCTGTTACTTGACAGCTACATCGAGGGGAATAGTTACGCCGTTTATTTCTCCGATGCTGTTGTTATTGATGGTGGCGGGATCATTGTGAAGGGAAATACGCTGAGTACGATGGAGAATAAAGGTATGGAATCATCTGTTTATGCTTATGCTATTGAAGTGAACAATGGCGGCTACATTGACGTGGAGAACAACACGATGAGCGCGGCTAATGGCTTGTATCTCAACGGGGACACCACCGTGAGCTCCGCGGGGCTGCTGCGAGTGGCGGACTGCTACTTTGTTGGCAGAAAGAGGCTTTTAAATTCCGCGCTGTTGTACTTGGACGGCTTGGTGACACTCGAGGATGGTGCGCAGGGCGTGTGGAGGGCACGTCGTGGTC